TAAGTTTCGTCATTAATTCATCACTTTTGATATCCTGGTCACAAATTTGACACATATATTTATTGATAAAAAATAATTACATTTTGATTTTGATTTATTAATCATTTATACTTATTTTGATCTTTGTAAAATAATTTAATGGTGACTAAAACTGATTATAATATATTAAAAAACATAATAATATAACAAATATGAACTATTCCAATGCTAATATTGTAAATATATTTTAGATATTGTTCAAAATTCATACTATTCCTCTTTATTTCTGTAATGCACTAGGACAATACTTCAACCTTTAACTATTAAGATATTTTTTTAATTATTTATTGGCTAGGCCCATGTGATAAAAAAAAAACACTTAAAATAATCTAGGAACACAACAATTCGGAGCAATACTTTTAGAACCGGACCGACTATAGAACCGGACGACCACTTGGGTCACGAGTTTATAGGGTCGAATCGGTTTAACCGGGTTTTTGATTTTCTTTTAATAGCTATTATTTTATTAATTTTAATATTTTAAAAATATTATTTTCTTTATATTTTTAATATCCCACTTATTAGTTTCACTTTTATCTACTTCACCTTACTTTTTACTATATTTTATTGCTTATACTCTATATTTTCCATTTTTTATTCTTCAAATGCGGCAATCGGCCACTCCTATTCGATTACCCATGATCATATCCGACAATCCTTCAACCACTCATGACTAAATCCGGCCACCCACTACTAATTCTATGAAGGTTCGCTCAAATCTAGTCATAAATAACCAAGTTTGTAAGATACACAATTTTGAAATTTGATCCATTTTTGTTAATAAGTAACTTCATCGATTAATTAACTTACATGTGTAACATATTGTATTTTTTAAGGGGATTTTCATAATTTACCCTAAAAATAAATAATAAAAAATGCATTGTTTCAATTATATGTTAATATTTTGAAAAAAAAACTTGATTAATTAAAAAATGAAGCCTACAATTAAATTAAATTAAATTAAATTATCAAGCTTAAATTAATTAAATTGTACTTTGATTTGTAGTATATTATATAATAATTAATGTTGTCAGAATACACAAAACGGGATAAGTATTCGGGTTACGATTGGACCGATTCAACCCGGTTGTTTTAGTTTTTTAAATTTTTAATTATATTATAAATTTTAATATTTAAAATTATAATTTATATACATTTTTTTTAATCTTCACACTTTCTTTCCCTTTATTATTTTTTTTATAGACTCTTACCTTTATTTTATTCACCACACCCATTTTTTTTTTTAATATTTTTTATGCCCTTTTCTTCTCTCTAAATTTTTCTCTCGTCATTGCGGCTGGCTTCTCCTTCCCTTCATCTTCTGTTTCTTTCCCAAGAAATTCAGCACCTATCCCCTCTCTTTTACTCACAATTAATTGTTACTTCTATTTCTTTTTCTTCTTCCCTCTCTATCTCTTCCTTATCTAATTTGTTTTCTTCTTATTCACCTTTTTTCTCCATCCATATTCAGCCACACATCTGTTCGGCAGCAAACGACCAAATCCGTCGGATTCCGGCAAACCACGGCCAGATCCGTCAAATTCCGGCAACCCACGGCCTACTCCACCCAGATCCGGCCACCCGAGACGAACTCTGGCCAAATCCGGCCACCAACAGCCTCCGACTCAACGTTTTGTATGAAAACCCGGGTCATTGACCGGTTTTCGGGTTCATCGGTTTCAGCCGGTCAGAGGGTGTTTTTGACATTTGACTCCACGCTCCCACTACCATAAATTAATACCGTGGACACTGTCAACAAGCACCAGAAAACATCAACAAAACACCCGGTGAAAAGGTTAGGGTTTCTGGATTTACGGTTTTTTTTTTTAAACTCCAACTCCGTCTACCGGCAATTTAAGTGGCTAGTTTCTGATTTTGTACTTTACTACATATCTGTGTCTACAGGAATTCTGAGTTTTGGATGCAAATGTATATTGAAATGTTATAACTAATTCCCCAGATCTGCATTTAGGCTGTATATAAACAATTATTGTTCGAGATTAACGTATTTTTATCTTCTGTAGTTGTTATTTTTTTTAATAGTGTTTTCAAGTCTAATTAGCTCTAAGGTATTGTGCCTTTAGCAGTCTAGGACTTTTTTCCATCTAAGTAGTGAGATTTGCTTTTAAGGTTGGTTTTAGTCATCGCCTTGAGTTGAGCTTTTACATTTAGCAGAATTTTTATTTTTCTCTTCTAATGATCTTGAGATATCAATGCCCTATCCAAATATTATTCAATTGCTTCTAGACTAATGTGCCGAAGGTGTTATACTACTGCACGTTTTCAAATTAGATTTAATCTTTTACTAAGTTGAAATGAATGTTTCAATAAAACTTTGTCCATACAAGTCCTTGAAAAGTTAAGATTGCAGGTTTGCTTCTAGTGTTCAGACAAATATGATTTTGCATAAAAGTTTGTCTTTTTTTTCGGATTTTTTTGTTAGTAAAGAGCTAGATTGAAGATCTTAGTGGTCGGATCTTTGTATTTTGCCCGTTCCTTACCTAGTGCTTACGATTTTGGGGGTTAATCGTAATGTTTCCTCTGAATAATATTGATGCAAGATGCATTTCTTGTTTTTCAAATGGCAATAGCACCAAGAACTCATCACAAACTCTGCATGGCTCATGCATAATCGTGGACGACAAGAGTACTTTTGTTTCCTATTGTGATAGATTACACATCAGTAAGTATAGAGGAACTGCACATTGGAATTTACTGATTGTTAAATAAATTTCTTTGCTCGCAGGGTCTCGTGTAAATTTTGTTCGAGTTCAAATTTGAGGGCTCAATGCAGCAACAGTCTGATCGAAACCAGCTTTCTGCATCAACAAGCTCGAGCACGTAACTGAGAAGGATATTGATCTCGAACATTGTTACAGACGAAATATCTTTTTTAACTTGTATCGAATTGAAAAATTAGGTGGCTTCCTTCAATTTTAATGCAAAACTCATTCGAGTGTTCTTTCGGTCTATGTATTATATGTTTTGACTATTGTGGAATGATATGTAAATTTGGTCTTCTAAGAATTTTCTGTGAGAATTTACTTGGTATCTTCTACTTTTTGTTAGTTTTGTTTTGTAGTAGATTGTGTGTTGATTATCAAGAATTTTGAAGTTGAATGAAGTTTTCAAATATTTGTATAACAGATATAAAAAAACTAAAATAGCTTTGAATAGCGAATAGCGAAACTTCCTGAATCAATAACCAGTGATGGAATTGTGACCAAAAGATAATTAAATATTTGTAACATATTTGTGACGGGATACTTGTGACAGAATTTTGTGACGGAGGTTTTGAATGAATTATTTGTGACCGATGTTCCTGATAGAATATTTGTGACGGACGTTTTTTTGTGACGGTGTCTGTCACGGACAAGTGATGTAAATTCTCAGTGATTTGTGACACATTAATGACCAATAAAAAGGTTTGTGACGAAATCCGTCACAATACTTGGAGACCCTAGATTACATATTTGTGACGAATGTTTTTTTAATTGCGACAGACGCATCTGTCATAAACATTGTGACGGACAAGAAAAAGCAGTCACAAATTTATTTTGTGACGAGGGTTTTTCTGACAGAACAATTCGGTCACAAATTTGTGATAAAAGGGCTTTTGTGACAGATTTTCTTCAATTTCGTGACTGAATCGCCCGTCACAAAAGCCCTTTTTTTTGGTAGTGAAAAAAAAATCAATAACATAACATATAAACATTTGAATAATAAAAAAAAAATACAATTACATTCTCAAATAAAATTACAAAATTCAGTTTTAATAGTCATATATAATAAATCAATGACATAACATATAAACATTTGAACACGAACATTTTTTTCTGAACATGTTAAGGAAAATATTGATTCTCAAATATCATATTATTTGCTAAATTGAGTAGGAATTCTCATAAAATAAAAGAGCATGTAACATAATTAAGTTGATATGTTATAAGTAAAAAAACAATTTTTTTTTTAATTGAATCATAAAAAAAAACAATTTTTATTTGAAGAAAAAAAAGGACAGACAGAAAAAGGAAAAAGGAAAAAAAGAGAAAAAAAATAATAAAATTCATGCCAACTCTAAGAGAGAGAAACTCCTTGCATTAAAACCTATTTAGTCTATTTCAATTTCCACGTGTCAAGAGATGGATGGCATCCGATTAACTCCAAAAAACGGAGAGTCCGTTCCTAATGAAGACCCTAAAAAAAAACCCATTGTACTTTTCTAATTAAGATATAAAAAGAATAGTTAAAATATTTAGTCTAAACAAGAAAATAGGGTGTTTTTTATATTTTTTTTTTCAATTCGAACCCATTATTTCTTTCAACCAAACAAAAACTCACCGACCCCGTAAGAAGAACTTGGCCTAAAAATAGAAACATTTAGAACGATGAGGAGAGAATCATGTCCTAAATGTTAAACTATTTTATGTGATTAGATTATATAAACGATGAGGAGAGAATCTAGTTCAATTTTTTTTATGCGTTTTAAGTATTAACAAATAATATTTAGAGATATATTACACTAAATATAAAAACCGATTTATTCCCGATATTTAGAACACTGATAAAAAATAGTTAAAATATTTATAAATATAAGAATTTATTAGAAAATTGTAAATCTCATTTGTGATTTTTCTAATAGCTAAGAAACAATATCTTTCTTTAATTGCGAGCCCCGGCCCCTGGTATTTGTGTGTTTTTATGTTACGTCAACACTCAAATGAATAATGGGTCACAATATATTGTGTAATTGGATCCTTGTGAACAAATTATAATTCATTGTATAATTACATGTTAATGTTCTTGAATGAGGTCATTAATTTTCAGGGCAATAATTACTTTCGGACTAAATGCGCTAAATGGAAAAACGGTGGAGGAAGGTAATACTAGTTTTGGTCCGGCGAATGCTACACTTGTTGCCAAGGGTAGTTGGGATTATTCGATTGCTGAATCGTTTATTCGTTACACTGTCAACAAGGGTTACAATGTGTTTGCTTGGGCTCTTGGTAAGAAATATCATCACACTCTACTCACGTTTATTGCACAATATATGCATGAAAAAGTTATAATTTTGATATTGTAGATTTTTTCTTATTAAGTGTTGCTTTCGATTTTCTAATAGGTCAAACATTTTGTCTAATTTTAACCTAACATTAATAACATATATATAAATGAATTCATTAAAGAAAAGGATAATACAAAGGTCAAAAATGGGTAATTTTGTAAAATAAAAATTATTATTCCTTCAAATCAAGACTATCTCATAATAATATTTTTCATAATTAATTAATTAGAGAGCATCACAAACGACGCTAAACAAACGGAGGGTGTACGTACAAGTAAAAAAGAGATTTTCGTTTAATCCTACAAATGTAGGTAATTATCATTGTGATGCAAAACCATATACTCATCAACTATGTGCTTTAATTTTTTATTTTATATTTTGTTTCCATATTGCCAAGAATATTTCGCATATTTCCTTGAATTAATATAAAAGAATTATGAGATCAAACTTGTAAATTTATTGGCAGGGAATGAATTAGGTGGTATCGCAATAGATCTATTCATGGATGCAGACCAGTATGCCCGGGACACAATTGCTCTACGCCGATTAGTAAGAGAAATTTATCGAGCAAAGATGAGGGCCCCACAGATCATGGCTCCTGATGATCTCTTCGAACCTGATTGGTTTCAGCAATACCTAGAAAAATCACAAGGCTCACTAAATATAATTAGCCAACACATCTATAATCTTGGCGCAGGTATATATATATATATATATATATATATATATATATATATATATATATATATATAGAGAGAGAGAGAGAGAGAGAGAGAGAGAGAGAGAGATAGTTAAATCTCTATAACTAATGATTTATGATGATTTTGTATATACATAGGATTTGATCCGGACCTTATAAATAAAATACTTGATCCGACGGTGCTGGATATTGCAGCAATTCCGCTACGGAACCTCCAGAACCTTCTGAAAGAAACGGGTACATCGGCGGTTGGTTGGGTTGGCGAGTCTGGAGGAGCTTATAATAATGGTCGTGATGGAGTAACAAACACCTTTGTCCTTAGTTTTTGGTATGTCATATAAACTTACTTACATACATGCATGCATGCATGAAATATTTATATATTGGGTGAAAATTTAGACCGGATGATCTGTTTTAATAGGAAAGTCGGATGCCATAGCATGATTGATACGTGGATAGTTTAAATTAATATATAATTAGGATTCTAATAATTGAAAAAAAAAAAGAAAAAAAGGAAAAAGAAAATCCCAACAGAACCCATAACTCCACTAATCCTAATTATAATCAGCGTGATTTATTAAGAATTAAGACTTAAAAAAGACACATGTCAAAAAATTAGTAAAATTCGATTTATATTAAATATTAGCTGATCAACTCATAATTTAATCTCTTATATATTATATATTTTAATGTTGATGATTGTATATATATATGAATTAACGGATGAGTTAACTATATAGGTATTTGGACATACTGGGTATGGCAGCAACTTATGACACAAAGGTGTTTTGTCGACAGACATTAGTCGGAGGCTACAATGGTTTACTTGACACCGCCACCTTTCTTCCAAATCCCGATTACTACAGGTATATATCGAAAGCGCATATCCAATTATTATTTATGATGCCGACCGTCACACACACACATATATAAATATATATATATATATATATATATATATATATATATATATATATATACTACAGGTATACATAGGCCTCATTTGGGTCGTGTATTACATATTCTAGGCCCAAACCGCCGTCTTGCTACTACTTATTCTGAAAAGAAAATTTCTTTAATAGTAATCTATTCATGGGAGGAAACAAAATTACGAATGCGGGTTTAAATAATTCACTCTCTACCTATCTTTCTCTCTCTACAATTTTATTTTTAATAACTTTTATATTAGAAATCGTTCCAAACCCCACGTTATTGTAGCGATTTGCAAAGAAAAATGAGTGCATCGAATGAGCATCGAGATACGGAACCCAATGAGGTAAAATTTGTTTGTTTTGGTTTAGGCGTGGGAACTGCTTTCACACGCCCGTTTTGGACGTGGAAAAATCAAAAACCCAACAATTAACAACAGCCCCAAATCGCGATTTTCACATGATTAACCACAAATTCAATATATATAACTAGGGGTGGGAACGAGCCGAGCTCGGCTGTTTTGGCCAGCTCGAGCTCGAGCTCAAGCTCATCGAGCCAATTTTTTTGGCTCGAGCTCGGGCTCATTTAATTTTTTATTACGAATTATTTATAGGAAAATAAAAAAATTATAAAATAAATAATAAACTCTAGTTACATTTTTTTTTAATTTTTCTATTATTATTATAATATTTTATATTATTATGAATTATATAAGTAATATATATTTGTTTATGTTTAAATACTAGAAATATTTATTATTATAGAGTATTCACTATTTAGTTAATAATAATAATAATAATAATAATAATAATAATAATAATAATAATAATAATAATAATAATAATAACAATAATAATAATAATAATAATAATAATAATAATAATAATAATAATAATAATATATATATATATATATATATATATATATATATATATATATATATATATATATATATATATATATATATATATATATATATATATATATATATATATATATATATATATATATATATATATATATATATATATATATATATATATATATATATATATATATATATATATATATATATATATATATATAATAAAAAAATAAAAAAAAGGCAGCTCGCGAGCTAGCGAACAACTAAATTTGGGCTCGAGTTCGAGCTCGTCCGAAGCTCGAGCTCGAGCTCAAAAAAGTCGAGCTCGAGTTCGAGTCTTTGTCGAGACGGCTAGTTGAGTTTGCGTGCCGGCTCGGCTCGTTTACCACTCCTACATATAACTACTTTAGATGATTAATTACCTTTCAAGTTGACGAGATTTTCAAATTTGGAAGGATTAGTGACAAAGGTTGAGGGTTTTTGTAAATTTTGGAACTGTCGGGGGTTTTGGAATTTGAGTGGATTTTAGAGTTTTTAGAGAGAGAAAGAGAAGACTATTATGAACCACATGTATTTTTGCTACCGCGTAAATCATTTCAGTTTATTTATTAATGCGATGAGCAAATTATTTTGTAGCGCACTTCTTTGGCACCGTTTAATGGGAAAACATGTTTTGCGGACGAGATTTGAAGGAAGTACTAAGATTCGTGCATATGCTCATTGTGCAAAGAATCCTGTAAGTTCTTAACATATAGAAACCTTCACCTTTTTTTTCCTTTTTTTATTTTTAGTTTTTATGTGACAGTGTCTCGTTACAAAATTATAATATTATCTTGACATTTTATTATTTTATTTAATTTTTCATACATCTACAGATCTAATTTTAAAGCAACTTCAATGCTAAATATCAGAATTGAATTATTAAATATTTATTTGATATTTCAAATAATATTTTAATATTAATTAAAATTCATATACTCCAACCATGAGTATCAAATTAATTATCAATTGGAAGTTTATGAGTGATTTTATTTGTATTTGTAATTGTCACGTGTGAACTTGTGATTGGATGTTTAGATAGTTACATTTTTTGATAACTCAATTTGCGGTAAGTATATTTACATGTCAAGAGGTGAATTATCAAAATAGAACCTTCATTTATAACCCATTGGAATTAAAAAAAAAAAGGGTCTTTACAAATAAGTCCATCATAAAGAGATCCACACAAAAAACTCATTTACAATAAAGTCCATACATGGTCCAGATTTTTGTAAAAGACTAAAATAGCCCCTCATACTTTAATATGCTCCAATTTCATCATTTAATTTAATTTAACCTCAATTTGACCCAAAATTTCACAAATTATTCAATTTTGACCCAAAACACATTTTTATGGACAATTTCGTCCGTCACCGCCGTTGACCGCCGGTCAACCGCCGTTGAATGCCGGTCTCCGGCATTGACTTTATTTTATTTTATATTGTCCGCCACCGGTTTCCGGCAGTCAACGCTGGTCTCCGGCGTTGACTTTTTCGATTTTTTTTTCCTTCTTTCTTTCTTTCTTTGTTTATGTAACATCTTCTTTTTCAGTTTAAACAACAATATTGTTGTGATTGACAGTAATATGAACTATATTACTATTAAACACAGTAAAATTAACTATACTACAGTTTAACATAGTAATATTGCTATATTAATCTCTAGCGTAGTAATATTAACACAACAAAACTCATTATTATTGTGTAATAGAGTAATATTACTATGTTGACCGTTCAAGAAATGTAAACATAATAAAAAACAAAAAGAATTAATATTACTGTGAGTGACAGTAATATTACTATAACAACAGTAATTTTATCGTCAACCACGGTAATATTACAATAATAGACAGTATTATTATCACGTTACTCCGTTAATAACTGGAACAAACAAAAAAACCCAAACAAAATAATAATATTGATGTGGTTGACAGCAATATTACTATAACAACAGTAATATTACCGTCAACCACGGTAATATTGTTTACAGTAATATTACAATAATAGACAGTAATATTATTACGTTACTCCGTGAATAACTCAAACAAAACAAAAATCCCTAAAAAACTATAATATTGATGTGGTTGATAGTAATATTATTGTGTTTACAGTTATTTTATTGTCAACGACAGTAATATAATTACGTTGACTTGTCAACAAATCAAACAAAATTAACAAAAAATAACAAAAAAAAAATAAAAAATAATATTACGTTAATTTACTGTCAACGGCAGAACAATTACATAACTGTATTGTCCACGACAGTACAATTACGTTAATGTACTCTCATTGACAGTATAATTATGTTAATTTACTGTCAGTGACAACACAATTACGGTCAACGT